GTTTTCTTTTAACCTTTAGAAACTTGTCCCGATCTCCCAAGGCGCAACACTATGCAAGCATAACATAAGACAACATTTGCACACATCCTTGGCATTTTCATAGGACCAGCTAGTTGACTTTCTCGGAATTTCGAGTCTTGAAGGCGTTCACATGCACTTGTGATTTTTTGCAAGAGAAATTGCTAGTGAAAGGATCCAGTGACCAAAAATAGTGCTCTTTGTGTTGCCAGATAACATATAGAAGTTCAATGTACTGTTTCATAATAAATATCTGAAGCACGAGAAATGAGAACCCCTGGACCGAAGATACTATGCTTTCTGCCTGGTTTAATTAATCTGTAACAGAGAGAACATAACGCAGCAACAAAATAGTAGAAGAGGAGCAATCTCTTATGCTCTTAGGATGAGGAGAGGAGTGTTAAACGACTGAAAATAAAAACAAAATTTATAATATTACAGTCTGCAATTTTACATATAAACTTGCAAATCAAATGTATTATAAATAACAACATAGAAAAGCAGGGAACTCAAAATTTACTGTCAATGGTCTAAAGGTTCAACAGCAGTCCTAAAGAGAAGAATGTAAACCTTGTCAATTGAAAAATACAGGAAGCCTCCTGTGGAATGAGTAACATACGAACCAAAGCTGGTTCCAACAATGCAGTGCCAAGCTGGACCATATGTAGCATCAAATTCCTGCCAAACCAGTCAAAACTATGAACTGTTTGATTGTAAATGTTAAATGGCACTTCCTAGAACAAATCCTATAAATTCAAGCTTAAATGATCATCATAATATCTTGGGCAACGAAAGGATAAAGAACAAGCACAAATTTGCCCATCTCTATTTTCTTGTATTTAAACACCAATGCCATTGCTGCTTCAATTGAAGGACTTCTTTAAAAGAAGCATGCAACAAAATAATAAAAAAAAAACCCTAAGGTATGGGGCAAATTCGCTCTACCAAGTTGAATTTAGACAAGTGTCATTTCCGTCCCAGCTTCCATGGCATCTCTAGAAAATTTGATCCAAGTAACATACGCTCACACGTGCCATTGCTATGTCCACTAGCAATGATTAGTCCAGAAACTCGATCTTTGGCTTATAACATCCAATTCTATTAACTGCCTGACTTAACAAAATAAATTGATGTAGGAGAGGTAGAGATAACATTTCCACGTGTAAGGGTGCATCAAGAATCATAGAAGCTAGGTATTCATCAAACAGGAAACAATACCATTTTTCAAAGATGATGAAATCTGCCCATTTTTCTTTTCTTGTGTTCTCACATTCCAGCTTATATAGCTGTTACTTTCTCTCCCCATTTTACAGCTTCCAGTTTTCAATTCATTTAGAGATAATGGCTCTAGCTATCGTTATATAATAGAGTATTTCTCAAATTTGTTTTTATATTCTAAAATAAACCAATTTTATCCTTAAATTTGGTAAACTGCTAATCTATCCTTCCAGCCAAATTTTCAGACTAATCTACTAGAATGAGTCACATGACTTGCACAAAACAAATACCCGAGAATGCCCTCTTCCTTTATTCTCCTCCTCCTTCTTGAACAGCTAATCTTGAAGAAGAGGATAAAATCAATCATACAGCCCCAACAAATCTGGATCATCCATTTATTACACCAACATATCCGAAAATCAATATCCAACCCCAATTCCTACTGTCAAAATAGGATAAAATCATATGTCCTCAAAAACTCAAATAGATACTTATGTTGTATTGAAACACAAATTTATTACAACACCCCCCCCAAAAAAAAGAAATAAAAAATCCTTAAATCACTAGGATATTACTACATTCTTCTTCCATACAAATCTATGAAGAGATGGTCTAATACAAATAGTTTGTACCTTTGCTTATCTCACTTTGTCTGATCGTACCTCTTCCTCAGTCCTCCAAATTCCAGCACCACGACCTGTCTCTCTCCCTCTAAATCCTCAATTTCAAATTTATCTCTAAGAATCTCAACCAAAGTTTCAATCTCATGTCTTATTTTAAGATAAAGGGAGTGAAGATAAGCCCAAATTTGGTGAAGAAAAGGAACCCGCGACCTTCACTATCTCTGCAACAAGTGACGATGTTTTTCTTTCCCTGTTTTTTTTTTTTTTAATTTAATAGATATTAATGGCTTGTGTTTTTTTTTTTTTTTTTTTAGACAAGTGGGTTTTGTAAATTAATTTTTGAATTATAATTTGTTAACACAGGTGAATCAATTACTGTAGCATTCAATTGTTTGGAAAATTTCGTGGAGGATGAAATGAAAAAGAAAGAAAAAAGGAAACAGGGCATTTTTGAGATAAAAAATTGTCATGTGCAAGTCATATGACTCATTTCAAAAAATTGTCATCAAGTCATATGACTCATTTCAATAGACTGGTCTGAAAATTTTGCAAAGAATAGATTAAATACTTTATATAAATTCAAAGATAAACTTGGTTCATTTTAAGATAAAGGGATAAATTGGAGAAATATCCTATTATATATTTATAAAAAAAAACTATCTCAATCCAAAAACTTAATTTGTTAGGTGAAGTATGATAGTTGAGATTGAGTTTTATTCAAAAAACTTAAGTATTATGTTGCGTGATTACTTCTCAATTTTGTGGAGGATGACATGAAAAAGAAAAAGAAAGGAAAGAGGGCATTTTTGAGATAAAAAATTGTCATGTGCAAGTCATATGACTCATTTCAAAAACTTGTCATCAAGTCATATGACTCATTTCGATAGATTGGTCTGAAAATTTTGCAACGAATAGATTAAATACTTTATATAAATTCAAAGATAAAATTGGTTCATTTTAAGATATAGAGATAAATTGGAGAAATACCCTATTATATATTTGTCAAAAAAAAAAAAACATCTCAATCCAAAAACTTAATTTGTTAGGTGAAGTATGATAATTGAGATTGAGTTTTATTCAAAAAATTTAAGTATTATGTTGCATGATTCCCTCTCAATTTTGTGGAGGATGACATGAAAAAGAAAAAGAAAGGAAAGAGGGCATTTTTGAGATAAAAATTGTCATGTGTAAGTCATATGACTCATTTCGAGTAGACTGGTCTGAAAATTTTGCAAAGAATAGATTAAATACTTTATATAAATTTAAAGATAAAATTGGTTTATTTTAAGATATAAAGATAAATTGGAGAAATACCCTATTATATATTTGTCAAAAAAAACCATCTCAATCCAAAAACTTAATTTGTTAAGTGAAGTATGATAGTTGAGATTGGGTTTTATTCAAAAAACTTAAGCATTATGTTGCGTGATTCCTTCTCAACTTTATATATTACTCATCTTTTGTTTAACTATTCAATGTGGGATATGCGCTCTAACACTTCCCTTCACTTACGATCCATCTTTTGAGGTCCGTCAAGTAGTTTAGGCTCTAGAATTTTTGCCGAGCCGTTGGCTTCTTTAAAACTCGATACCATATAAAGAAACATCTTAATCTAAAAAGTTAAGCTATTAGGTGAAGCTCCCAAAATGATTTTATTATTCTCTAACACCATTATCCCTTTCATTTATCATAGAAAACTTCTCTTCTTAAAACAAATCTAATAGGTAATTTCCATGTTTGATGATGATAATGGTGGCATACAAGTGAATGTTCTGGCGGGGGTAAAAGAAAAATGGAAGTCACTGAGAAAGGCATAAACCTAGCAAAGTTCACTGCTGGATGCTTTGATGTAATGCTTCCTTTATGCCAGAAATCAGGAAATAAATGAGCGGGCAAGAAGGCATAAGTAACTCTATCCCCAAGAAATGAAAGTGACAAAGTTCTCATTTGAACCATACAACATCTGGCTTGCACGGGGCACCTAGGCTATCAACTACAAGAGCATTATGCAATGTCTAATTGATAGTATACTAAAGAAAGTCGTAATAACCTTAGGCCTGACGACTCAATATGCCTGATATTTCAAGGCAGGTTGAATGGCATTGCTATTCTAAACACGACCTATATGCAAATCATCCCAGACATTTCTATTTTTTCTCATGCATTTAGTTAAATACTTCTACAAAATAATTTGCCTAAATTATAATTGACTAAAATTTTTGCAGTGTAAGTTGATGGAGAACTCATTCAGATTCACATAATACCCTTCCCTCTGAACATATGCAATTAATAATTCAGAGAAGCTATTCAGACAGGCAAACAACCAAAAGAGAATCTTAAATAAGAAAAGAATTCAACCATCAATATATAAATTAATTGCTGATTCTAATTAGTTATGAGACACGTGTTAGTTGCATATTTTACTCCATTGATTATAAAGATCAACTCAATACCTAACATTTTAAAACTTCATTTTCTTTATCTAGAACATTCATTCTCACAATAGAAAACAAGCGGAGAGTGCATAGAAAACAATTGGTCCATAACACTGAAGAATAAAAATAAAGCCAGTGAATTTTACATTAAAGGTTAAAAACACAAACAATCAATAGGACCACCTGTACTTGCAGTTTCTATACACACCCCCTACTGACAAGATTCAAAATATTATTCTCGGTTTGGCTATTCCATTATAGAAGCAGAGAAAAATCTAACACAATTACAAGATTGGACCACATGCAAAACACTTTCCTCTTCGGAAAAAGGATTCCAACTTTAATAATCAGGGTAAACAATAAATCAGTAGAAAGATTAAAAACCCAGCATCATAAAAAAGGACATGACCATTTTCACTTAAAGTAATGTTAAATTCAACAGGACCTCCTGTCAAAATTTACTCAGTACCCATTAATCTAAACTAAACACCCCCACCAGAAATCCCAACAAACCGATTTAGCCTCATACTTAAGAACATTTGAAGTTCAAATTAAAGCTTGAAAAGTCAACGGGATTGGCTCTATGCAAAATTTACTTGACACCCATTACTATAAACTCCAATAAAGAAGAACAAAGACAATTAACAAAATCCTTCAAGCTTGAGGAATAAACAAACATCGAGACCCAGAAAAGCAAGGAACTTGTTTAATTTCTAACCTTTTTAAGGGCAAGAGCGAGGCGTTTGCTATCAAGCTTTCCAGGCATGGAGTCAAGCTGGTCACGAGCAGACGTAAAAGCTCGGTTCTGCAAAGCAACGGGCATATCAGCAGCTCTAACACGAATATTGAACTTGCTGTGTTGCTCTTGATGCTCTTTGGCTTTCTTTTTCTCTATCAAACTACTCAAGAACTTGCTCCTTCTCTCCAGTTCCAGCTCTGCTCCCTCCATTTCACTTTGCTTGATTCTTGATTCCTTGCTTATTCTCTCATCACTTTGAAAGCAAAAATGAAATGATAAAGCTGCCTGAATGAATCAGCAGTCACTGTAAATGAATACAAACTGTTTGAGGAAAAGACTGACAGAGCTGAAAAAAAAAGTAGCAAAAGAGGAAATGTTAGAAGAATAAAGGGATGGGGAGAATGGGAAAGAGAGAAAGCTGTTGGTTCTGCAATTTTTTGGGGTTTTCTTTTTCTTTTTCTTTTTGGAGTTTTTGGTGTGTTTTTGAGTATCGACGAGGTCAGGTCGTTGTTGGGATGGGCGTAGAGGGGACAAAACCAGTATTTTGTAATCGTCGTAGGATAATATTTTACTCTTGATTAGCGGAAGTTTGAAGCCCACCTACAGCCCTACACACAAAAAATGTTTTGTGTTGCAACTTGCATGGAGTAGCTGAAGACCAGACCTGATTGCCATAGGACACTAGATTCTAGAGATGCCGGGCTGTGAAAATATGTATGCTCTATTTTGATGTCAGCGGTGACATATGAGATGATACAGGTATACTTTTAGAGCTTTACAAAGTTTCTACGACGTTCGACGCACGTAACTAATAAAAGTATTTTTCTTTTTAATGTATATTCAAGCTAAATTTAGACAGATAGCCTAGACGGTCAAAACCCGAAGTGATGTACCAACTACATTCTTGATAAGAGTATGTTTGTTAGTATGAGGACTCGCTCGACCTTGATCTTGAGGGTTAGATTTATTCTCTACATATCAGAAATTATAAATAATACATAAATTAAAAGAAAATACTCTCTCAATGCTAATTTTGTCTAACTCACAATAACAGCGATTGCCATTATGTTTGTTCGACAACTTCAAAAGGTTCTTGTTTTTTAATCATGTCGACAATTGTTGACATCAAATGATTATATATATATATATTTCATTTAACTTGACAAAACTTGTGACTATATAAATGACCTCGACGTTTAAGGATAAAGATTCAAAATGTATTCTTTTCTAAATGTTGTTAATCCTTCTTTCTTAATATCTAAATCATAATCTTTTCAAACTAAAACTTTTATTTTTTATAATAACTTAATGGTTGAAAGGTCTTGTATTAAAAAAAAAAACTAACTTATTTTATAGGTATTCCAGTCTCAATAATCATTGTCATCTTCAAATACAATCCTATTTCAGCCTCGATAAAAAATCACATCATCATTCTAAGCTTTACATCCTCATCAAATGGGGTTTAAATAATTTTAAAAAGATGGTGTATTAATTTATTTTTTATTAGCACTATTTATAGAGGTATTTCGAGTTTTGGTTATGATATATGTGAGTGGGCTCTCTTCATATGCATGCACATGTGAAAAATACAGTTTTTTTTTTAATACATGATCAGGTTACCTAGACACTGTACTAGGACGAGGCTCCCTGTCATGTTTAGTAGCCACAAGATGACAACATTCATTTCCGAGGTTTTGTATATTTGTTAAAAAATAAATAAATATAAAATCTATTTCGAAATTCTATGTAAATTTTGGCAAATGAAATTTTAAACTCAATTCTGGCATTCTAGAATTTGCCTTTCGGTAATCAACGCAAGGGCCATGGGAAATTAGGTATAGCAGAAGGTTTAATTCTTTTTATCATGAGGTGCATGCAGAAGAAGTGGACTCTTGACGAATGAAACGAATCTCAGTCATAATTAGTTTTGTAGCTGGGTAGGTCCAGTCTCACAGAAACTTTTCCCTTCCACTAAAGCTCAATGCCAACTTCTGCAACAAAACAATGCCTCTCGAGCAAGAAGAGAGATGGGACCGCTAAATAAAGCAGAAGTCCCTAAACAGTAAACAGTCCCCTTTTCTAAAGGTTTCTTGCACTCGTTGGACAAGCAAACGGTAATTGCGGGTTTTAAAAATGAAAGATGTGGGTCCTCGTGGACTCCAAAGTTTTTTGAAGTTGACGGGTCTGGTCTGCCTTGGACTTTCCCTCTCTTCCCTGGCTTGCTGCATAGTCGCATGTGGGAAGTGGGATCCGCAGGCCTAACGACCAGTCAAGAAGTTTTTTCTTAAGAATCCATGCTTGCCAAAACCTCATGCTTAAGGTGCGCAAACAGACATTCAGGTCTCCAAGGACCTCCTTTTATAGTTCACACGGGAATGGAATTTAATATATTATTTTAATCTGACGTTTCACTCTGCTTTGCTTGTACTATAATATATTAAATAAAAAATTTTAAAAATTCATTTAATTTTATTATTTTTAAATAAAAATTTTGTATTTAACTAATTATTCATTATGTTTTTCATAAATTTTATGATAAAAAAAATATGATTTATTCTTTTTTATTTGAATTCCTTACTAAAAATTTATATATCATGCTACTATCATTTAAAAATTCTAAAAATCCTTCACATAAATTATATAAATTTATTTTTTAAAAAAATAATCATATTCTAAAATTTTATTTGAAAATTCATACAAAGAAAAATAAAGAATATTTTTCATTAAATAAAAATAAAAAATTAATTAGATGATCGTCCATTTGTTGCGCAACAAACCACATGTCATTTATATACAATTTCCAATGAACTTTAGTTTGCCAAAAAAATGAATTTTTAATTTCCAATTTCTCCAAAACCAAATTCAAAAGTTTCCCAGAAAACAAGGTTTAAATTTCCAACCTTTTGAAAGCTAAATTCAGCTCTATTTTTTTTCAAACATCTCGAAATTATAAAAGTAAAGTGAATAAATTCATTTAGAACTTCAAAGGTTAAAGCTCATTTCAATACACACAAATTCAAATTAAACTAAAAAAATTTAAAATATTTTTGAATCATGATCTACGTCTTTCAACCATTTCATACCTTTTGATCACCACAAAAACATCTCTTCAAGACGAACTAATTGGTGGTGAGTTAAACCGTAACTCCCGTGAACTTGCTTAACGTAGCTATACGTACGAAAATAATTTTATCTACATCTACTAAGTCGCAATTATGATTTTTGTGTCATGTTTGTGTTTGGTGAGTTTAAGATGCGTGGGTTAAAAAAAAAAATCGACATACCAAAATTTAATTCCCGAACCCAAATATCTCTTGAAATATCCATGATTATGTGAGCATAAATTATGTGTCATTTCTTTTATATTTTTTGGTGTGAAAATATTTAAGGTTTATGGAATTGTTCATAGGAATACTTTTTTTTGAAATTTAATTAACCATTATTTATTTTTTCATAATGTATATTTAAAATGACCATGTAAGTGAAAAATATATCCCACTTAAGAGTCATGGCCGAATTTTATGAACCAAATAAGGTTAGGAAGTTGGTTAGTTTAGTTACCTTTTAGTTTCTCTCTTTAGTTAGTGATGTGATATAAAATCTTCCACCATACTTTCATTTGTACTTTCTTACTTAATTTTGTAAGGTTAAACACTCCAACTTGCCTCTCTTTTTGTCTCTATCAATTGACCTCCCTTACCACAAAAATTGGACACTTGGCATATTAAACATAAAAGAAATAAAAAGGAAAAGTGTAGTATAAAAATTGGATGAAAAGATGAAACCTTGCCATTCTTTTTAGCCAAAAATTCGTGCCATTAAAAATGAGGAGAGAAAAATGTGAGTTTGAGGGAAACAAAGGAGAAAAAGAAAGGGAAGAAAGAAAGGAGAAAAGGAAAGGAAAGAAACGAAGGAGAAAGAGAAGAAAAAGGCTAAGAAATCTTAACCAAACACACATCATTGTAAGTAGGTTTCTTTTGGTTTCATTTTAGTTTTATTATGCTTTAAGTTCTCTTTTACATGTTTGATTTATGGGTTTTTCTTTAAGCCATGTAATATGTGGTTATGGTAGTTTGTGTTGATTTTAAAAATTTGATGTTTGGTGATGGATTTATGATGTTTTGATGATGAATTTATTTTGAACGTTGGATGTGTATTTCATGGCAAACTTTAGGTTAGAATGTGTAAGCATGCCATGTATATGTATGATGATGGCTGGTTATACATGTGTGATGGGTTAGTTTGGTGATAATTATATGTGATGAGGAATGTGTTTTAAAAATTTTAAAAGAAATTTTTTTGAATTTTAGGGGTGAAAATTTTCAAACTTTGCATGATTTATTTAGGGATCTTAGATTGATTTTTGGGTAAAAATTAAAGAACTAAATTTGTTCATCTATGTGTCTACTAGCTCTCTATAAAATTTTGTGATTTTTAGATCTATATATAAAGAGTTATGGCTGATTTGGTACATATCATTTAGATGTACCACATGCTGAAAATTTTTAGTTCCAAACTTTGTGTAATTTATTTAGGGATCTTAGAGTGATTTTTGGATAAAACTCAAAGAATAAAATTTTTTCCTCTATGTGTTTAATAGCTCTCTGTAAAATTTCATGATTTTTATATCTGTATATAAAGAGTTATGGCCGATTTCGTACAAATCATTTGGATATACCACATGCTGAAAATTTTTAGGAAAAAAAGAAAAATTTCGAGTTTAGGGAGAGGGATTTCCAAACATTAATGGAAATAAATGAGTTTAGGTACTTAAAATTGATTAGTTAAGGTGTTTAGTTTGCCTAATTATTTAGTTAGACACCTAAGTCATCTTAATATAACCATATGAGTTTGACAGATATGTATGATTGGGCTTGGATTTAAAATAAAATGGACTTGGAATAAAACACATGGATTTGGTCTAACACAAAGTGGGTTTGGACTAAAATAAAAAGTGATATTGGCGGTCTAGCTGTGTGCGTACTCTAAGTTGTGTGCCCGCACCGTAAGACAATGGATTCTCGTTAACGGTGACTACAACAAGGGATAATTCCGTTGTAGTAGAAGGTGAACTGCGGTTCACATGGGTTAAAAATAGAGTAGATTCACTAATACCCAAGGTATCCGGAGTTAAAATTTGGTGAGTCAAAGTAGGGGAAGTTAGAACATGATCGAAGTGGCAAGAATGGGCCTCGTAGTCTTTTTCTCTTTCCTCCTTTCTCCCTCTTTGTTTCTATCTCTTTTAAACATCAAAGGGTTAGATTGCAATATAAATGAAGTTCGAGATTGAAAAAAACTTCTAAAAAATGAGAACTAAAGCGTAAAAATGCCAACAAATAACAAAAATTTTCAATAAAATTGAATGTGCATCCACGATACACATAGGTGTGGAGCTCTAGGAAAAGCAAAAGTGATTGCACAATAGCTTCATATTTTCTTTTAATTTATTGTATAAAATCATAACTTCGCATAATCATAATGTTAATGACAAATTTTACCTCCATTCTATTGCAATTTAGCAATTTCGGACCCATAGTATCAAATTATATAATTTGAACCATAAAGTATTGAAAATGGAGCAAATGTAATCCAAATTATTTAATCTTCATTATGTGTAACGGTCAACCTAATTGATCAGTTACTTGAAATGTCAAAATGACATCATTTTGGCATTTCGCTATTAATTATTAAAAAAATATTTAAAAATATTTTTAACCCTCTTGATCTTGAACTTTTTTTACTTATTAAATATTATAAACATTTTATAAATTATATAAAAAAAATTATCTAAATATTTTTTAAACCCTTAATTTTGAAATTTTTTATAAAACATTATTGTAAAAAAACATAATTAACAATGCACAATTTTAGGTCTTAAAAAATATTTTATAAATTAAAACGAGCATAATTAAGGATTGACCTCCCTAATTTTATAAATTATAAAACAAAAATATTTTTTATAAAATCTTTATAATATTTTATGAAAAAAAGTTCAAAATTAGGGGGCTTAAAAATATTTATAAATTTTTTTTTCATAGAATTTATAAAATGTTTATTGTATTTTATGAGGAAAAAAAATTCAAGATTAGGAGGTTAAAAACATTTTAAAAATGTTTTTTTTTAAATTAATTAATCACGAAATGTCAAAACGACGTCGTTTTGACATTCTAAGTAATGGTCTAGTTGATCTGTTACACATAACGGAGATTGAGCAATTTAGATTATATTTGTTCAATCTTCAATATTTTGAAATTCAAATTACATGATGTGATACTATAAGCTCAAAATTGTTAAATCGTAATAAAATGAGGCAAAATTTGTCATTAAACCCATAATCACATGCATATCTTGTTATTAATGGATTCCATGAAAAAAAAAAAAAAAAAATTAAAACTTCCCAAATAGATTTATCTACAAACATAATGAATAAAAAAAACAAAGCTTGCCCTCTCATGCTACTTTGTATATGTAGAGAATTTATTAGTCTATTTGGGGAAAGTAATGTTTGGAATTTGTAACTCTGCCTGGGATCCCTACTTTGGTGACGATATTTTTGTGTAGCTTAGTATTTTTTGAACTGGTTGAACTGATTTTTCTGTTCATATGGGTTCACTTAATATGGAAATCGGGGTGTTTCCTTCATTTGCATATACATGTTTTTGGTTCAGAAACCAACTCTCCTACCTTTCTGTCTGGTGGGCCATCGGATCAATGATTCAATAACAAGACTAGTTTGGACTAATTACAAACTGGACGAATTTAGGATCCTGGTTTTGAAATGGCCTGGGAGCAATTAAGAATTTCTGGTATACTATTGTTCTATCGGTATATTTTCCTTTTATATTTTAGCATTTGCGGGTTTTACAATGATGGGATCCATTGGAATATGCAATTCATAAATAATAAAATCCGAATGGAAAATGTATGTTTTAATGGGAGTACTAAAGTCTTAAGATACTTCTGGCCCTTCGTAAAATGCGAGAAAAAAATGTATGGAAATGGCAAACCCCTTCCAAGTTGGAATCTTGGTGTTAGAAGGCCCAGGCCCCCTGGGTCATCCTGGCTATTAGATGTTATAAAATGTTGCAAGCCTGCCAGTCCCTTTTGGAAGGTCTCTCTCTCTTCTTCTTCTTTTTCTGTTTTTTTATGTCAGATACAAATCTTATCGATGCCGGTCTTACCTTAATCCCAAAGATCATCCAAGACATTTCATCGAAGTTTTCCTTTTCCTTAAGAATCCATGCTTGGCAAGGAAGAGAGGCTTTTGACGTTAAGGAAGCACGTTTTAGGAAAGCAGTATTTCTTGGAGCCTGAGGGCATGGTTTATTGATGTTTTAATTTTCAAACATTATGGAGAAATTAGAATAATTATAAATTAATCTTTTTAGTTTTGCAAAATAAATTAAATAGTCTCTTTAATTTCAAAAGATAATTGATTAGTCATTTTCATTCATTTTATGTTATGTTTTAATTTATTTTAAGAAATAGAAAAGGTCAAAAACTAAAAAAATATTATGAAAAGCTTGATGAAAAAAAAAAAGATTTTCCAAAAAAAATAATATTAATTAAACATAATCAGCATTGATTAAATAACTAATTAATTAAAATTAAAAATTAAAAAGACTATTTAATTCTTGTTGCAAAAATAGAAGAATTAATTTACAATTTACAGGGAGAAATTAGTATGGTGTACGTTTTCAAAAAGGCAGATTGGTTATAAAGATCTTAAAATACCCACCATTAAACATGCCACATAGCACATATAATCAGCTGGATCTGAACTCATGAGTTTTTATTACAAGAGCCAACTGTCATTAGACTGCAGTAGCATCAGTTTTATAATATAAGTTGCCGAGTAGTTAATTATGCAGTCCCAACAGAAACGATGTGAATAAATAATAATTAATACATCACAATGTTTTACACAATCAAATCTTGCCTTGGGAATTGGGATACCCTTATCGGCTCATGCCTGCTTCAACCAGCGGCGGTACTGAAGCCAGCTCTAAACTGCGATTCTTTTTCTCGACATTGCCATGCCATCCTAAACAGTTTCAAAAACAAACAAATCAAAACCACTATATAATTAAGAAGCTCGGATAAGACCCACAAAACATATGCATAGAGTACTATATATATTTACCAATAGCCAAGTCATATCCACGGTTTTTGAGCTCCCGATATTCTTGACACAGAGAACAATACTCACAGCAGCAATGAACCAAACAGTCCCCACAAGGGGTTTCCCTCAGCAAGTATTGCTGCCTCATTTTTGCACGATAGAAGCATGAGTAGCAACATGGACAACAAGTAACGCATGAAATCAGTGCGTAGAGTGCTCCGTTTACACCACAAGCTGCATGCCACACATACGACATAATAATCAATAAATTGTACTTCTTGATGATCAAAATCCTAATTAGTATCTACAAACATGGAATTAATTAAGTGCTTATGGTATTTATCTAAAATCGATTAAGTAATTAACTGGTTTTTTACTTTCAACTTCTTAATTAATAATGAAACGGGTTTTATGCATATTGAAAGTCTTTATAATTCAAATTTTTTTTTATTGAGATCTTAATTTTTTTTTTATTCAATTTAACAAATTTACTTTTATGTTATTGTTGTTTAATATCTCAACTAATAACAACTTGTCACGTAAACACATATGACAATCTAGCATATGACAAGCTCTCAATCTCTAATCAATAATAACTTGCCACGTCACCAATTCAATTATCTAATTTAGACTCATCATGACACATAATAAGCTGTTATTAGTTAAAGCTTGTCATGTGAATGTACACAACATATTAAAAAATAAAACAATAATAATATAAAAATAAAATTCTTAAATTAAAAAAAAAACTTAAAATATCATTAAAAAAAATTTAAATTATATAAGTTCTTAAAAAATGAAACAAACTATCTATCATAAAAGTAATAGGAACGTACCAAAATGAATTAATGGATACAATAACAACATAAAAATTAAATTCTTAAATTAAATTAAAAAAAAACTTAAAATATCATTAAAAAAATTTAAATTATATAAGTTCTCGAAAACATATAATGAAACAAACTATCTATCATGAAAGTAATAGGAACATACCAAAATGAATTAATTGATGCGAAATATTGTAATTTACTTACACGAAGATCCCTTGTCGACAATTTCAGCAATTTGTCCAAAAGTGACGCAGGGGCACCAGAAAGTTATACAGCCTGTAAAACCACCAGAAAAGAAGAGAAGAGACCCTCAATAATTCAGAAAATGAGACACCATTCAACTACCCAAACCCACGCTCAAACATGCAGAGCGTGTTCAACGCGCCACCAAAGGGGAGCATGTTTCTTAAGGTATTCCTCTTGTTTTTAACTTACAGTTTCGCCAATCCTCGAAGCAGTCACATAACCCCGTGGACCAAGGGCCTCTATTCTTAGATCGGAGTTCAGTAGAAGATCTAGAATCATCAGTACTGTAGAATTGACTGGTTGTGCTTACTGGAATTCCTGTTGTTGTTGTTGTTGTTGTTGTTGTATCTTGGCTGAACACCGGTGGCTGGGAAGTGGAGAATTTATCATAAGAAGATGGGTTCGATGAATACATGATTAAGGAATTAAGAATTAGATTTTAATTACACTAGATCAGAAAGAGAAGGAAAGAGCTCGTGCTTTGTAGCGAGTGATTTTCCAATCAATGTTACTTGAATAAATGACAGACAGGTTAACTTAAAAACGATAACAAGAAAAGAAGTGAAGAAAAAGTCTGAGTCGACTTTGACACGTCAACGGAGACCTTGTTTGCTAGTATTACTGGATTGGAAATGAGCGGAAAGCTCCAGTGGCCCGTTTCAAAGGCCTACCATAGTACTATGTGGTCCGAAAACCATGAGCATTAAAAACTGACTTTTACCTCTTGTTTGGATATTTCCTACTGGAAGAAAAGAAAAAAAAATGAAAAGAAAAAAAAATTATTTTTCACTTATTGTTTGGATAAGAGTAGAAATGAAAGAAAAGAAAGTATATTTCCTTATTTGGATAATTGTAAAAAGAAGAAAGAAAGAAAATATATTATTATATATTTACTATAATACCCTTATGATTATATTTCTATATTTAAATACTTATAATAAATTTGTATGAATATTTTTTTTTATGAAAATAGCACAAATGATAATAAAATAAAAATCTAGCATGTAGCATCTATTATAAATGATAAGATGGATAATGAATCGTCTCCATAGAATAATCGATAACTCGTTTATTTATTAATTAATTCGATAGCCAATTTAGATTAATTATCAACATAAAATTAATTTAAATATGTATAACATGTATTATTATCTATGCATATAATAAGTTAGTTGCTTTTACCCATCATTTTCTACGCTTTTTTTTATAAAAAAAAATTACTATTTAGCAATTAAAAAAAGAAAGAATATATTGTAGCATTGCGAACAATTATGGAAAGTCAATTGAATCACAAAAAATGAGATAAATTGCATATTTGGATAGATAGGCATAACTCGTTACTCGGGTGAACACTCCAAATTCTATCGTAAAATTTACGAGTTCTTGAAAGCCTAAGGTAGCTTTTATTGCTTATTTTTCCGTCAAAAAGACTCAATCAAATGCAACCTACAACATCATGTTGTGGATGCCAACAATCCAACACACGAAAATATGTTTAGCCTTTTTTTTTAATAATAATTTTTATTTCTTCTTTTGCAGTAACTCTAAAAAGTGTTCGAGGGGTTGTTTTCAAGGATGTTTTGTATCTGTTTTGCTGGGTTTTTTTGAGTGGTTTTGAAGCTGGTTTTGAAGCTGGTTTAGGGGTGTTTTTGGAGCCGCTTCGAGTGGTTCAAATGACCTATTCAAAAGGGTTGCTCGTAAGGGTTTTGGGGTCTGTTGGTAACAGCTTTAGGGCTGAGTTTGGGGGCTTTGGGTAGGTGTTGGGTCTGTTTTGGAGTTAGCTTTAGGCCTATTTTTTAAGGTTTTTTTTTGGGTATTTTTGAAGTTGGTTTGGGGGTGTTTTTGGATCCGCTTCGGTGGCTCAAATGACTCGTCCAAAAGGGTTACTCTGTAAGGGTTTTGGGAGGTTGTTGGTAACAGCTTCGTGGTCGAGTTTGAGGGCTTTGGGTAGGTGTTGGGTCCGTTTTGAGGTTGGTTTTAGGCCTATTTTTTTTTTAGGGTTTTTGGGTGGTTTTGAAGTTCGGTTTGGAGGTGTTTTTGAAGTCGCTTCGGTGGTTCAAATGACATGTCCAAAAGGGTTGCTCTATAAGGATTTTGAAGGGTCGTTGGTAACAATTTCGTGGTCGAGTTTGGGAGTTTTGGGTAGGTGTTGGGTCCGTTTTTGAGGCATTGTGAATATATATTAATATCGACGGGTTGAATTGATGATTATCATTTTTATTAATTTGGGTGGGATGTCAAAAAGTATCGCTAAGTGTATAAATTAAAATGTTATTTCTATAACTTTTTTTTAATACAATTATCAATATATTTTTCATCAATTATCAAAAAAATTGATGAGAATCATAATTTATTTGATGAATTTAGGAGCATCCCATATCAAATACTATAACTCGTTTAAGTTGTAAAAAATTGCATGTACTGCTCGCAATATGCACATCACATAAAATGACAATTCGAATCACGTTTCTTGATAACAATAGGAAATTTCAACAAGCAAGTTACCATATCTAAGTGAGACCCATCAAGCAAGCATGTACAATAAAAATCATTCGTTGTCGTGATCTGCCGATTTCAATATATTTTTCAAGAATGGCTTCCTTTCGTTTTGTACTCTCCTCCTTTATTCTATTGAGATCTTCCTCCTCTTGTTAAGCTAATTTCAATGCAATCCTTTCTTCAAAATCATCTTGTTCATCTTCATCTCCGAAACCACATATTAAAAACATAGAAGTTAGGTCATAAAACATGTCGGCCAAATATATACTTTCTTGAAGTTAAAAGACGTTTTGAATTGAAGTAAGCATTTCAATTACTCGCATTACGAGCAACCATTTAGTTATTCATATTTTGTCCCTTTAAAAGCCTCATACACGGTTAAGTACCTTATACTTAGATGTAAAACAGGTAAATAATGAAAAGGCCAATACAATTCAGCGTCAACATATTAGAAAATCAAGTCAACACGCTATGCATTTTCTCCAGGGAAAAAAAATAAAATACAGAAACACTCCAATGTTCCCAACACAAAACACATATATGTATTCTTGTACTGCGAAATGTGATCCAAAGAACATGTGGTAGTTCACACATATCCAAAATTATATGTATACTGGTCATCTACCATGTACTTCCGCATTTGAATAAAAAAAGGAACATTGCCTAAAGACGGATACTTGTCATTTAAATACTAAGATGAGAAACCATATAGACTGTTGTAGAAGCATTAGCTACCGGCATTAAGTTCGAAATTTTCTTACCAACCAAGTCTCTCGGTGAGACATATTAGCAAACGAAAAGATAACTTGGCCAATATGTAGTCCATTTGCCAATTCGAAGCATATTTGAAAAGAAATAATAAAGAATTAAAATCTAAAACGGAAAATTCATAGCTCGAGTCCACAATCCTATTTGCATCTATCAATCCACACAAGTCAAGGAATATTCGGACAAGATGGCCGAGAAAAAGAGCTTTAGAAATCAAAATGAATCAAGTAGCCCAAAACGAGCTAATAATTAAACCGTGTCCCTATTCACACACAATCCCAAATCTATCTACCAGCTCTAACTTGATAGAGTGTTAAAGGGCTTTAAAGATCAAGCGCTCTCTTCTTCATACCAGTAGTAACAAGTGTGTGCTAAAAACAACCCTATTCAGTTCAACATTGCTTGTATGGAAAGACTTGAGACGAGAGAGCAAGAGTAAGTACACTAACATGCTTTCGGATGTTAAAACCAAGGGTAGTCGTCCTCTCGCCCTTTGCTATGTTGACACCAAATGGCAAAATGACACTAATCTAAGCAACTAAATCAAAAGAAATAACAAATAAATAGCATAAACCGAAGGGCAGCTCGTCCTCTACCCTCTGCTATATTGACATGGAGGAGGTAAAAGTTTGGAAAGTTCTCGCGGGCGGAAAAGGAGAACATGGTGTATTTTCTAATTTTGACGTTGAATTCCAAACAAGGGGAAGTGACATCACACATTCTAGATCAAACACAACCCATTTTATAGAAGATAAAGAACAAAATCAAACAACACATTACCTTCCTTTGCTTACGTTACAACTTTGGATGAACTTTTCTTTTTGATTTGCGGATCCGGTTTAAGCTTACACCAATACGAAGGCTGCTGGATGTGATGAAACACCAATACCGTGGGTGTAAGCTTCGTCGCTCGAAAACACAATGTCGACCGGAGAGAAAGCGCAGTAACGCCGGTAACCCCGTGTTGATTTGCGGATTTGTTTCATTACTGCGAGTGGTTTGCAAAGGAGAGAGACGACCGAGAGGCGAGAGGAAAAAACGTGATCGAAAAAAAAATGAAGTACCACGTTTTTCCTTCCATTTCCTCCCAATTTTGAGAGGAAAATGGGTCCCACTTAAAATATATTTTTTTAATTTTTCTTTCTTTTCACTGCTTTCCTTTCCAAACCAAATGGAGGAAAACATTTCTTTCCTCCCTATTTTCTTTCCTCTCCCCCACTTTCCTCCTTATCCAAACAAGGGGTTAGGGCTAAATTATCCGGGAAACTCCACTTATTAAGGAATTGATCTGCCATTGTTATGAACTTGATTGTAAGGGTGATTTGAACGTTCGGTTTTTTTCCCCATAGAATTTATCGGTTTAGTATTGTGTAGAGTTCAATTACATAATTATTTCAATCGATAATTATCGTTTGTAGTGAAAAAAAGAAAAAAAAGTTTGTTGTTTGCTAGATATTTCGACCGTTTATTTCACTTTCTTGATCCTTTTTTGTTTTGTAGTTGTTTCAAAACTTTTCTCCTATCAAATTAAAAATGTTTAATTATATATATATATCACTTATCAAACTAAATTAATGTCAAAATGCACTTAGCTTTTAGTTAATTATCGGACTATCTTTTAAACTAAATCAACCTAAATCTAATATCATTAAAAAATAATATAATCAATTATTCATAAATAGTAAAAATTAAATCTTAATTTTGGACGAATCAAAATAACTCTCTTACTATTCATAAAAGTAAAAAGTTAAACAATTAAAAATGATGTTACTTTTTTATTGATATCAAAGAGTTTTACTCTCAATCTTTACATAAATTCAAATGGAACTAACTAATTAAGATGGGACTTTAGGTACCAACAAACAAGCTGTAAACTCTCTCCTCCTCTCTCTTTCTCTTAGTTTATATGAATGAGATTTTTTTTTCTTCCATCAATGCTTGATCTTTTCAAATTTAATTTCTCGATATGATTTTGTTTTTTATTATAAATTTTATGTCACAAGATTTGAAATATTAATCTCTTTATATAAAAGTTTTGAAATTCTATTTTACTCTTTAAAAAGAATTGACATTTATTAAGAGTGGTGGGAGATTCAAAACTTCCATCAATAGAGCATGGTAGTGAAACATGTTCTTCTATTCATATAT